AATCCTTACTCACGAGCCGTAGGCGAGTGAGGAATGGTTTCTCGAGTGAGGCAATTGTACTTTGAACTCGAGTTGCACATTATACTTTTCCTACAGATACCATAAAACAAATAAATTGGTGAAGAAACATAACCTATTTTTACACAGAAGTGAACTTTTAACATAACATTTAATGTGAAGTGACAAATACAACAGTACAACAGCTGACCAGCTGATTTACAGCCAGTGCTGCCAACGTATTTCGCGCGCATACGACGTTGCCTGCATGTTACGCGCTCACTATTCCGTGCCTTCACGTTGCAAATCTGGAGTGAGACAAAGTAATTAGAGTGAGACAATGTTATAGAGTGAGACAATGTTAACATTGTCTCACTGATAAGCGAATTGGCCACTTTGCTTTCTTAAATCAGTGAGAAACATGTACATTGTTAGGTAACTGTAGGAAAAATAGGATTTACTGATAGTTTAGGATTTGTAGGAAGTTATTATTCAAGATTAGTAAGACGTGAGATCTATGAGGGAAGGCACGGAATGGCTCAACTGCTGTGATAGATAAAAGATTGGCACACCCACGTCCAGCTACACCGCGACTTAGCCCAGAACGCTTTGTTGACATAAAGCTAGTTAAAATACAATCAAGTAGCATAGGCTACAATACTTTACACTATTGTTTAGATACATTACTCGATTACCTGAGTTAATAGGGAGGGGGGTAGTGGGTAATGAAAAATACGGTTAATCCAATATAATATAAAAATAGATGACAAACCCATTAAAACGCGGTAAGCAGCCATTAACGTCACGATTTGCATTTTTATAAACGAAATTCAATATTGCACAATGATTATTATTGTAACTTACATTTCAAATCATTTATCTTGGTTCGGTTGTACAAACGGCATCGTTTAAAATTATAGCTAACTCAAACGTTTTCTGTGCTCAAACACAACTAATAACTAGCCAAACACTGCATTGCTATAAATAACGTAAATATTAAAGGAACCCTTAGAAAGTGTTATAAAAGCTACTGCTCATGATAGACAGATAGCCTACCGGTAGGTGCTGTATCACAGCATAGGAGTTGATAGATAAGTAATAAAAAGGTGTAAAATTATATTTAGAGATAATAAAAACACTCTTAAAAAAGAATGTAACGAGAACAATCTTGTTATTCTTTTTCTTTGTTCTTCTGTTCTTTATAAGTTTTTTTCTTCAATTCATACACAAATTCAACAAGTCTCCATATTTAGGCCTACTCATTGCCCAATCACAGCCTAACTAAAGTTACCATGGTTACTAATCACAGTTTACTAAGCATTATATCGTCATCATTCCCCAGCTGTTGTATCTGAAATCTGTTGTAACATAGCGCACAGCAGACAGAAGTGTATAACGGAGCAGACGACTGTTGGCGCAAGCGTTGTTTCCATTTAATTTTCATCGAAGGAGCTGTGATGTTTCCAAAGAAAGGGAGAGGGTTTCGTTATATCAAGAAAAAGACGCTGACAAATCGTTAAGCATAGGTTACGAACGCTATATAGCTATTCTGGCAATAAAAAATTCCTTAAATTGAGGTGATTTATAATACTCTAATTATATTTATATAGAAAGATAAGTTTTCCAGTCCTGTACAACACTGATTCACGTACGGTCTTTTCCCGGTACCTAATCAAAATTCAAGTACAACTTGATATACACAGAATCTCCGGTTCCCGACCTGGATGATGGCTAGTTATTTATTTTTTTAATTTACAGTTACATATTAGTACCCGTGATAAATCAAACCCGTTATTTAAACTAAAGCCACACGGTTAATTATCTCACTTGGTTTTGGATTTGCTTACAAACGTGATCGGAAATGGTTACAAACGTGATCGGAAATGGCTAGGGCCTAAACAGTATTATTCGTAAATTCGTAAACAACGTTTATTTTTGTAAACATATCAGTGACAGCTAGAAAAATGAATCGTTATCAAAATAGCTGTTCGTAATTTCATATATGACGTGTTCTCTTAACAGATTATTAATATTTCATAAATGACGTGTGTTAACGTATGTTTACTAACATGGAGAAAAAACCTAGAAAATGACACAAAATTGGGTTTTTAATCGTCCGTTATTTGATTTCCAAAATAGTGAGGCCATGTTTTAATGGCTAAGGATGACACTCCTGTGAATACAATTAAACCATTAGAATCATAATCGGTACTCTAGTTTTCTTTAGAGTAGGCTGCGTAAAACGCATTCTGGGCCGTGACAGACGGACATAAATTGAGATAAGACATGTTTCAACTTCTTCAATGTATAAAACGTAAAAATAAACCAAAACATGTATAATTCTGAGCAATGTATAGACAAAACTATTTATATAGATTAACTACAGGGTGTCCACATTCTGGAAAGTCAGGGATAGTCATGGAAAGTCATGGAAAAAAATTCTGGTCATTGAAAGTCATGGAAATAGGCAAAAAGTCATGGAAAGACATATGGAAATCCCCAATGATGGATGGATTTCAGGGGTCCTTTCAACGATCTAGTCGGCCGTAACCCCGACTATTGTAGCATTTTTCCGAATTTTTCACAAATATAAGACAATTCAATTTATTCAGTTGGTTTAGTTGATGGGTTTTGAGTTTGTATTTTGTTCATTGTTGTACCTGTTGTACGCCATTGTTATCTGTTAATACATATTTCAGTATTTTCTGTCTAGGCAGTATTATTCGTGTGTTTACGGTATATTATAATTTTCGAGTAAAGTTTGTGAGTCATCGAAATCAATGGTTAATGGTCATGGATAGGCCTAGTCATGGAAAGTCAGGGAAATTAATGAAAAAATTTCTGTGGACACCCTGAACTAGGTTTGAATTTTTAATATAAAAAAATGAGTAAAACTTATTTTAGTTTTACAAATAGTGCTTGGCGGGGAATAATGTTTCTCATTTGTTGTGTACCTCATTTATTGGGGGGGCTGTTGCTCAATTGGGGGGGGGGGGGGTGCGTCATGAGTCTAGGGGGGATGGGCACCCCTGTTTTTGGTTTGTTTAAAAACGTAAAGAAACAGAAACTACATCTAGGTTTTACTGTTATATATGGATGCTCCATTTACTACCATACCATACTTGCTAGGCTATATTATTTTAACCTTTTTTGCTTGGAACGTAAAGACAGTACCTGTTTCAAATCTCCTCCAAACAATATTGTTTTCCGCCCATTGGAACTTGTCATAGTACTCACTTAGTTAAGAAATTTATTTCCTGATCAAACCTATTTCATCTTTATTCCCAGGTTATTTTGTAAGAGTAGCCGTTGAGGTTATTTCACTTCATACCAAATATTGATTATATACAATAAATAAAAATTATAGGCCCTATTATATACAATTATATACAAAATTGATATACAATAAATCTCAAAATTTAAAATGTTAGTTAATTTACAAAGAAGGTGTAGAATAAATCTAGAACATGTGTTTTGAAATATAAACAAAGCAGAAGTTTTCCATCTTGAATCGTTAATTATTTAGTCAACGTGGTTATTTCATGTTAAACGTTAAAAATACACAAATTTGAAAAGTTTCACAGTAAAATAATTTACTTCAACATTCTATAACCCTAAAAAGTCTTAATTAATATAGGTACCCTTAACCCTGGTTTTATAGTATACAGTATGTTGCAGAATTGACTAGCAAATGGAGTAATCCAGATGTAATTTTGCATACTGGCTTAAAGATAAATCACGATCAAAAAAGTTTTGGAATTTCACTACCGGTATTTTTCCCGCCGTTACGGGATCGAGACCTTTAATTTGAGCCCTCTCCGGTCGTTCTACAACTTCCCAGTTGCCCACAATTTTGACGCAAAGAATCGGCTTACGTCATTAATATATAGTTGTGTCATAATTTAAAAAATCCGGTACAGCAGTAAAGCAGTATAAAAAAATTCAGGCTAAGAATCATGAAACAGTCTTGTTACCATCCATGGGGCAGGACTAAAATTGAAGTTTAAATTTTGATTTTAAAATAGCCACCTAAGTAATCATTCTCTAATTGTTATGGAATATGCTCAGGTTCATTGTTAATAAGTATGTGCAATATTTAATATAATACTAAAATTTGAAGGCTTTACTTTCAATGTCCTTTATTTTATTGTTATATTTAAAAGTTATTGCTAAAAGTAATATTTGTAATTGTAATTTATAACATTATAGATTCCGTGCTTGCAATACAGGTAGTAATAACGTTTAGTTTTTGAAATCCGAATAGAATTAATAATAAATAAAAAAACAGTATTTTCTACCACTTGTAGCTACGGGCCACCAGTTCTGGTTACGATAGTAATAATTCCCTGTGTTGGGAGGGAAACGCCACCGAGCGTCCTTACTCGATATAATGGGGGCGAAAAGCGACGAATTACCCACCCAGCCGTGGCGCGGGGATTTCTGAAGCGTCCGTCCGGGTGAAACACCATTTTGAGGGTGTCCGCGTCAAACACGTCCGGGCTAAACACGGAGCCGGTGTGGTGGGCAGGGACTTTTTTGGGTCTGACGAGTATGTTTTGTCTATGGTCTGACTTAGGGGAGGTATGAATGAGGCATTAGTTCAAAATTCCTCCGTGAACAGCACTGTAGTAGAGAGCACTTTTTGGCAATGAAGGTTTACTAATAGCAAAAATAGTTCTGTTCATAAAATAAAATTATAAATGCCTTAAATTCATTTTTATAATTTTTTTATTATAAAATTAAACTATTATAACCTAACCGAACTAACCAAACTTGCTGATAATGAAATAATAGGCTATTACAAAAGTTTAGTAATAAAAAAATAATTCTGTTTATTAAATAAAACTATAGAAATTGCTCAATTAAAATTTTATAATGACAATAAAATTAAAGAAGTCCACACCTGTCATCGTAGGCTCTTCTATACCTCCCCTGAGTAAATACCCTTTTTTTACCCTAGGCCACAACTAAACATAACCTTAAACATTTTCAACAATAACATAACCTCTTAAACTTCATCTGTGTAGTGTGTTTGAGAGTGAGAGATATTGGTTTATACGGATTAAAATAGTTTAAACCCCGTTTGTTTCAAAAATCAAAATGAGTGGTGTTATCAGTCGTGATGTGAATGGTGCTTTACCTTCATTAAACCAAAAACTTCACTGTGGGATATTCCATCCTGTGTTGAGAAAATGGCAATGTACAGAAAACATAACATCATTTAACATAATGTACCCTGTTTTTATTCTGTAAGTACACCGCCTATTTTATATTTGGGTACAATTTTTTAACTAGGTTACGCTAATATCGATTGAAACTATCGATTCGTAGTAAACCTTCATGCGATTTATTCACCATCAGCAAGTTTGGTTGGTTAGGTTAGGTTATGATAGTTTAATTTTATAATAGATATATTTTAAAATATCGATTATTAATCAATATTTTAACCCTCCGAGTGTCCCTAGTTTTGGCCTTAATGTTTGCCTATTTTTTGCACATTTGCAAGGTTTTATTAAAACGGATCTGAGAAGCTTAAAAACAATGTTAATTATACTGTTCTATATACCATTTTGTTTGGAAAATCATAGGCTTCAATATTATACATAAAACATAAGGAACATTTGTTTCAAAAAATTTTTTTAGGAAAAAAAATATTTTGGAAAAAAAAATAAAAATAAGTTTGCGCTCAATGAAATTGTATAGGCTAAATTATAGGCCTATAAATATTTGAAAATACCCATTTTGTTCTAAATTTTATGAGGATACAAATATATAATAATATAAGGAAGTAGATTTGCAAATAAATAAGTTATGGGCAAAAAACAGATTTCAGTACATAGCGTTAAGCTAAGAATGCATAGGCCTAACCATAGCTAGGAATCTGGCTGATAATTTACATCAATATCACTACCTACTTCTTCAGGATCATCAACCAGCCCTTCAAAATCACTTAAATCTTCTTATAATGCACCACGTATATCACTACTTTTGATTTTTAACACTAAAACAATGATAAACGTAATAAAACACATCAGTCATCGGTGCAAGGTTAACCAAGCTGTTTACAAATACGCAAGTCAGCTGTCTGCTACAATTATGATCGGCTCGAGAAAAAAAAGTGCTTAGAGACAGACCTCGGGAGAATGCTTAGAATCTGCCAAATAAAACGATACCTAACTCGATCCAGTTCAATCCGATTTTGTCAGTAATAGAGCAGTGTTTGTGAGTCGAAAAATCGACACAAAACACTACACAAAGTGTGTTATGTGTCGGTTTTTTTGACACATAACACTCGGAGGGTTAAATTCGATAGTTTCAATCGATATTAAACTTAGCGTAGCACAGTTAAAAAACTATACCCTATGAGGCCTATATTATTTTATATGAGGCCTAAATCTACTGGTACCGTAGTTAAATTGTATTACTAAGAGAACCTTAACTTAGGTGTTATCAGTCATTGGCTATTTGTGCCGTGCCAGTTCCAAATGGTATCCTAGCATAACATTATAGGAACCTTTTTGGATCATATAACTTAGATGTATTAAGTTAAATCAGTGATCTAAGCCCGAAAGTCCCTCCAGGCACAGTCCTATTCATAGTCTTAACTGGGATATCAAAAAATATATCCAAACAATGGAATTGTTCCAATACTGTAACTTAGGCTAGGAGATAAGGAGAAAAATATTTACATTCAGTAAATGCTCAGGCATTTAGAATTCAAAGATTACCAAACTCAAATTCACCAAGAAATGCAACTGATGGCAAACTAATCAGTTCATATTAGGCATGTGAGGAAGGTACAGTAGGTTGGGGCTTATGCAGATTTGTGTTCAACTCAAATTCACCAAGAAATGCAACTGATGGCAAACTAATCAGTTCATATTAGGCATGTGAGGAAGGTACAGTAGGTTGGGGCTTATGCAGATTTGTGTTGTGACTGTATTAAGTGTTTTGAAATGACCTGATAATATGAAGGCAAATTTTAGGATCATTACCCTAACAGTTTATTACAGTTTTATAAACGGTCTAAAGGATGACGATGATGGCCAAATAAGGTAATCAGGAATAAGAAAAGGTAGAATAAAGCTGTTGGAAGGGAAATGACTGATTATGGAATACCTGACCTCAGGAGATCTATTTGGTTTTATTGTCGTCACTATCTTTACAGTATTGTTAATGAAAATTCCATCTTGAGGCATATGTTAATACTGTTAATACTGTTCAATGAAATGGCGACCATACATAGTAGGTATTTTAAGCCAAGTATGAATGGAGATGAGTGTAGGTGGTGTTTGAGTGACGGGGTTTGTGACAGTACAGTATGATTTGTATGACAGTAGCCTATTCTTAATGAAGATAATCATGTACCATCTTAACAACAATATACTACATTGATACATTATCGACCCCCTTTTTACAGAAATGTTTAGAGTATACTACACTCTACTACATTCCTAATAAAATGTAAAAATGATGTCATAAGATTCTAAAAACTGTTAATCAATAAAAAAAAAAAAAAACCGTAGCAATAAAATGCAAACTAAAATAAGTTTTCTTTTAAAGAGATGTTGAAGATGCAAAGACTGAAGTTGAGAGTATGCCCGGAGTTTTTAGGTACGGGGTCAATAGAGTTGTCGATGAACTGAAGCCTTTAGTGGAAAAGGGTTTGAAAAGTATTTTGTTGTTTGGCGTAGTGACACATCTCTCAAAGGTGAGTAATCTCTGGGTGATGGTGATCGTCCTTGTTTATTGATAGGCCTAACTATAGTAATACCAGAAACAAAAGAACCCTCGGCCGTTTCGTGCCGCGCAGGTTTGAATGGTACGGTCCACCTACCTGCGCGAACCACGTGATCTTTTCGTTTCTGCGCAGGTTGTTTTGTTCGTGGTATATCTATAATAGTTTCAGCCAATTTCTTACAGGAAAGATGTTAATGAAGAGGGTGTGGCAAGGTTCAAATAAAGCCACAATTTTGCTCTTGGTGCCAAAATAATTTTTTATTTCAGTTTGATACGGTAGTTACAGGAGCATGCAAAAGTGTATAGTTTTATTGGGCCATATTTACCCCATTTAATATTGGGATACATAGAATTTGACTTGTTTTAAAAGAAAGGTTATGTGTTTAGGTTGCATAAAAAAATGTAGTGGGTACCTTATTGCACCCCAGCTACAAGCCATTATTTTCTCAAAGTACCACAGGCTTAGCTCCCCACTCTGCCACAAAAGAAAAACAGTGTTCTTCTCCCCAACATTTGAAATTTTTTCTTCACATGGAATGGGAAAAGTTATTAAATAGTCTAGGCTACTAAAATTTAAAATGCTTATTGCTAAATGATGTAATTATCTATGTAGACTATCTTGAAATTAGACTTATAATATAACCACCAAGACCGTGTTTATATGTCTATTGGATGTCCTGCATCAAGATCTGCTGTGGTAACACTCATTAGGGTGGACAGCCAGTTTTTTTTATAATCACGCTTGGTTAAAAATTCGAAAAGAAGACAAGAAATCTACTGAGTCTGTTGATTTGCTGAAAATAGAGAGTTAATCTAGTTAATCTTCATGTTTGCAGGTTGCTGGGTCTAAATTAGTCCTGCCAGTCTTTTGCTTATGCATTTTGGTATAATTTGATGTCTTTGCAGGATGACAGTGGTATCAATGCAGATTCCAAGGATAATCCAGTTGTAAAAGCTCTCCCCATTTTGAAACAAGCGTTTCCAGATATAATTATTGCATGTGATGTAAGTATATTATTAATATACTAAATGTAACTTATAGTAATTATTACTATAAGTTACATTTAGTAGGCTGACTTCTTCATACTTTCGGTGCAGTAAATGCAGGCTACAGCAGACTCCCTCATATCCGGACACCTTACAACCGGACATCAGTTTAACTGGACTACACTCGGAGGAAATGACATCTCTTTAACCGGACAATAATTTGTATCAGCACATCGGTTTAACTGGACTAGATCGGCCGGAAGTGGGCGGTACTGAAACGACTGTTCTCGTGGGAAAGATATGAGACCAGTGATCATGTCTCTAAATATGATGCTCTCCTAAATTCCGTTTCAACGAGTTTTTGGAGACCTCGAATCGGTTTAACCGGAAAAACCGTTATCCGGACTGGCCTTGGTCCCGAGAAGTCAGGATAAGAGGGAGTCTCCTGTATATCTATGCTAGGGATAATGCTGACATTTAACATTAATATCTTGGAAGCGATCACATCCGATTTGTCCATAGAATATACCAATTCACAAACATTTTGGATCATTTACGTTTGATGGCTTACAATAAGTAGATTTTTAAAACTCTAATTTTAATTTGGGTGTGTTACTAGCCTAGTGATTAGCTTCTCAAACTTTGGTGCAGGTTCAATTCCTGACATAGCCATAAGAATTTTAGGAATTTAGACCGCTTTCCCTTATCAAACAAAAACTAATTAATAACAACTGTGTCGGTACTGAATCGACTGTTCTCGTGGGAAAGATTTGAGACCAGTGAAAAGTGTCTAAATACAATGCTCTCCTAAATTTAAGTCAGATACCACAGTAAACGGTCCATTTTAACTAGTTTTTGAAGACGTTGGTTTAACCGAAAAACCGTTATCCCGACTAGCCTCGGTCCCGAGGAGTCCGTATAAGAGGGAGTCTACAGTAGTGAGAGAATAACCTTGTTTCACAAATACCTGTGAAGAGTAAAGTTTAGTTTTTAATACTTTGTGTAAACTCTTAAACTCTAAAGGTGCCTCAACGGTAGCAAAATGTCAATAAGTGACCACATTAGAAGATTTACATGTTCAGTGCGGCAGGCTTTCCAACAAGCGTTCGCCAATTCGCCCTGGCGCGGTACCGTAACATCGAACACAATTGGCATTCAAATGTTTCAATCTGACGTATAACAAAAGAGCAGCGGCGATTGAACTACGTTAGCCCGAGATTGGACGTAGTTCCTTAAAACACCCAAAGGTAGCAGCACTGCCTAGATCAGTAGTCAGTGGCTTTGTAATATGGCTTTAAGAGAGAAAATCTCCGAAACCGGGACAAAAGCATTGTCAGACGGGATTTTACGGGAAATGTTAGTACCAACCTACACCAAAATAAAGCTCACATTCTAAGCTACAGGCTAGCAACGAGTTTAACGTTCCCTGGCAATGGCTGAGCTTATACTGAACTAATGTAGTGGGGGATGCGCTACTACATCAATTGATGTAGGCAAATCGTGGGGCGACTACATTGATGTTGTCAGCCTGAACGTGTTAAGAACAAAAGATAACTGATAGGAAACAATGTAACTTAATTAAAACCAGTTCTTGTCATGTAATAACACTGTAAAAATTCATTGCAGTTGTTTTATATTCTAGTCTGTTTTGACAAAACATGATCTTTGCACCAAACAACCTTCATAAGACTAACCTGTCTTTCCAGGATTTTCTGCGGAAAAATTAGTTTTTATAAACATAAGTTAGCTTTGCACCAGAAATTTTTTGATTTTTTAATAGGTATAGTGTTTGGCAGTCTGACCATATTTTGTATGAGTTGACTTAATGTCGTTTTTTCAGGTTTGCCTTTGCCCTTACACAAATCATGGACATTGTGGCATCTTGAGAGAGAATGGCAGCATTAATAACAATCTGAGCATAGAAAGGATTGCAGAAGTCGCTGTCTCGTATGCTAAAGCTGGTTGGTTGTTATTACAGTATATACTCTTTTAACCCACCCTTACCTACTTATAATTTTCTTATACTAGTTATACTTTACCAGCCTTAGGTCTAGGTTATGTAAACATGCAAAATGCAGTTTAGGAATAAATATGTGTAATTTGATATTATATGAATAAAATCTTATCTGCATAAACCAATGCTATGTTTTCAAGCACTAACAGATCCATACCATTTAACAAAACCATATTAAGATTAAGGTAATCTGTCTGATATTGGATAATAAATGGGCACAAAGTGTAAAACCAAAGTGTTCATCACCATCATCATCATTTCTTTGTTTTGCCCATTCCTTGTACAGTTTGGTACATGAATAAGTGTCACAATAGCTTATCTAAATATACCTACTAAATTTAAGTTATTCATTACAGTAGTCTATAATTTTTTCTGTCAGGAGAACATGACAGAAATAGAACAACAGTATGAACAAGTGGAGTCTTTTAAATATTTATGAGTTATTGTCAGCTCACAAAGTGAGGAACACATAGAAATAAAGAATAGAATAAACCTAGCCAGTAGAAGTATGTATGCTCTAAACAAATTATTATCATCAAGATTATTGTCTCATCACACTAAACTTAAAATCTACAAAACTAGCATAAGACCTGTCCTTCTTTATGGAGCTGAAACCTGGATTATGGATAAAAACACTGAGAAAAAAACTTATTACTTTTGAAAATAAAGTCCTGCGCAAAATCTTTGGCCCTACTAAAGAAGGAGATGTGTGGAGAAGTAAACATAATCAGGAACTAAGAGACCTGTTTAAGGAGCCAGATATAATTGCAGAGGCTAAAAGCAGGAGGCTTCGCTGGACGGGCCACATTATTAGAAGAGAGGAAACTAGCACACTTTATCTTTTTAATATTAGTATAATTCTTCTTAATTGGAAATTTTAATATAAATTTATTGATTTAAGTAACACAGCAAATCCATTACTAATGTTTCCTTATTTGTTCATAAGGCAGAATATGTGTTGTTTTCAGGTTGTCATGTAGTCGCTCCTTCAGACATGATGGATGGGCGAGTAGCAGCCATCAAGCAAGGTCTGGCTCGGGAAGGGTTAGACTCTACAGTGTCTGTGCTCTCATACTCTGTCAAATTTGCGTCAGCGTTCTACGGCCCGTTCCGTGACGCGGCCCAATCCAGCCCCTCGTTTGGTGACCGCAAGGCCTATCAACTACCACCAGGCAGCTCAGGCATGGCTCTTCGTGCTGCGGTAAGTTACCTACAACTTACACCTTTTTAATTTTTATGTGGTAACAAATATTTTGAGCAATAATATTCAGTCAAGTTCAATGGTTCATGGTTCCAGTTATTTTATTTTCCTTAAATCAGATATTAAATTTTTTTCCATGACCTTTTATAGACCTTTTATGACCTTAAAATCCTAAGACGCTAGGTTCTAGCCTGGAACTGATTTACACAGCCTAGTCCTAGAGCGTCGAGGCATTATCACAATTGATCAAATTCATTGGTGATTGCCGTGATGTGAACCCTGGACCTGGGGATCCGAAGCCCAACGCTCTACCACTAGACCAGCTCGCTTCCATTGATATAGTCTACCAAAAGATAAAACTAAAACTGCAACAACAAAAAATAATCCATCTAGACATTAAATATCATAAGTAAGATACAAATTGTCAAATTTACAAGCAACTTTGATAATAGATACCAAAAACACCACCTATCCTTAAAATGCCCTGAGTTAAATTTTCTTCAAGCACGTTTTAAATGTGAGAGAAGTTATGCAAAAAGACACCCGAGTGCGTACTCAACCTGAGTACCTTCCAATCTACTCGATTACTGGATGACTTAGAATTCTAAAATTGATATAGGCCTAGTGCCAGTTTTCTAATGGTAAATCTTATTTAAAGTCAGTTCTGTATATTATCAGGATACTTTTTAACCCGAGCGGACACTGGCGTTAGTTATCATGTTATGTCTGCAGTAATCAATAGAGGGTAGTATTGAGATTTAATTTAGTAATTAATTGTTTTACATTCTAAAAAGAATGTATACATTTGTAATAGTTTAGGGTGACATTGTTTGGAAAGATTTCACCTTGTGAAACCTGACTAAAATCATTCAATGTGAACGTTTCCAACCAATAATGGATACCACTTACTAAGTTTATATTGCAATAGCTAATCATATTAATCAATATTATTTATGAATATTCTTTTGAAAAACAAAGAGACATAAAACTAAAACAAGGCCTAAAAACCCAGACGATACTTTTTTTTTTAAGGGAGAGGAGGGAAAATGCTTTTACGCACACAGGTAGCCAGCCTGTAGTGTGAGACTCCTGAATTTATCACAGACTACTCAATAAAAAACTCACTCTACTCTGTTGGACACAGACCTGGAATTGTTTGTCACATTACTTCAAGTCAAGCCAACATGTGACCTAAGCCCTCAGGGCTCTCACCAGTTTTGGCATTTAAGATACTTTATGACCTACACCGCATCCCGGTCAAGGTCGAGCTTCTTGGCGCGGAGAATACCCTGGATGTAATGTGACACACAGGTCCAATTGTCGTGACAATTGGTTTATTGGTTTGTTTGGTACCCAGACAATACTGGCTTTAGGACTATTACAACGATAACAAACACACACAATATCTTGGAATAATGCCAGATGTGATTTATGTCCGAGAATGAGAATTTAAAAAAATCACATTGTTTATTTAACAAATCCAATAAAACATGATGGGGTAAATATTTACCATGCACAAGCTCTGGCTTTATGGTGATAGCCGTGGGCCCTCTAGTTTTTATAAAAAATAATTAAGAGATTGAAAAGTTAAAGGACTACAAGTGGAAAATTGTAACAGACCACTAAACATTGCAAAAAAAGTATGACTGTAAGGGCTACCTATACATTGTACCTATACAAGCTTTAAGAGTAAGGTTGTACAGACAATTGTACCTCCGTTCAATAATATAAACAAACAGAGCCACAAACCTAATGTAATATTTTCTCCATACTATATTATAAAAACAAGGCGGTTTTACCATCATGCAAAAACCAATTGCTCAATTAAGTGAAACTTTGGTTCTGAATCTGTAAAAGATTCAGAGGCTACTTTTTTAAATGTCCTGTATTTTAAAGTTTCGTAACCTATGTTCATATAATAATTGTTGCAGGCCCGAGATGTAGCTGAAGGTGCAGATCTAATTATGGTTAAGCCTGGTTTGGCGTACTTGGATATACTTAGGCAAACAAGACAAAACCATCCCCATATACCACTGTTTGTCTACCAGGTAAGCTTGAATACTTCTGAAAATTTATCTAGGAAAGAAGACTGTCATATTTATTCCCTTATTTAAATAATAGTAGTTTAATAAGTACTTTGTAGGGAAAGTAATGAAGTGTTTTCGTAGTAAAATGTTTATAGTTTATGATGAAGCAAATACATTTTTCAAATTTGATCAAAATAAACATGTATATATGTTCATAAACTATAACAGTTTACTTGTCCTCCGTAAAAATAACATGGGAATTATTAAAATATTTAAAATATATTATTGCACCCTTAAATGTTCCACATGCATTTGAATTCAAGATTGTCTCTGAATCCGATGTTATCTCTTGCATCAATTGATTAAAGCATAAGAGTTCCACTGGTTGGGATGAAATTCCTACAAATGTAATCAAATCATTGGCTTCTTCAATTATAAAACCACTCACTAATTCTATCAACATTTCACTGCTGACAGGAGTCTTCCCTGTCAAATTGAAGTATGCTCAAATTATATCTATATTTAAAATGGGGACTCTGAAGAAATTTCAAACTACCGACCAGTGGCTCTCTTACCTTTGTTTTCAGAAATATTTGAGGAGGTTGTTCTCTCGCAAATCGTTCCGTTTCTTGAATCATTTATTTATCAAGAATCAATTTGGTTTTCGGAGGAAGAAAAGCACGTCTGATGCAATAGTTGATCTAGTTTCTGAGGCGGTGTAGGCCTTGGACAGGTCTCCTTTGGCAGAGAACCTTTGGTGTTTTCTGTGATTTGTCTAAGGCCTTTGATTGTGTCAGGCATGACATTCTCTTGGAGAAAATGAGATTGTATGGGATATCTTTTTAATCTTTTTCCTGGTTTTCTAGTTACATCACTAACAGATATCAGCAGGTTGTCATCAAAGATAAATCCGGTGCCAAAACATTTTTCTGAATGGAGCTCAGTAGCCTATCCTATGGTGTTCCGCAGGGATCTAAATTAGGGCCTCTTCTATTTATCCTCTATATCAATGACTTGTCTTTTTCACTTTCTTCCAAAGTTATTCAATTCGCTGATGACACAACAATGCTAGTAAGAGAACATTGCATCCCGAGATCCAGATTCCATGATAACTTGGTTTGCACAAAATGGACTACATCTAAACTGTTCCAAAACTCATCTTCTTTCCATAATCCACAACTGAAGGCAGATGAGATAATAATCAAACTGATTCCATAAAATCTTCTACAAATACTAAATTCCTTGGTTTAAACATAAATGAAAATCTAAAATGGTCTGTCCATCAAATACAAATTAGCTCGTCTTTGGCAGAAGCAGTGTTTGGTCTGAGGGTGGGTTTTAAGTCTTCAGGTTTGCATGCAGCTCTTGCTTTGTATCATTCTTATTTTATGTCTAGGACTTCCTATGGTATTATCTCATGGGGCAGCTCCCCCATTACCAAGAATATTTTTATCTTACAAAAAATTGCCGTTAGAATTTTAGCTGATATCAGACCACGTTCCTCTTGTCGCGCCCTTTTTATTCAGATGAAACTCTTGACAATTATGCACTTAATATTTTTCAACAACTGTGCATCTTTGTAAAAATAAATTATAAGGAATTTATCTTCAAAAATTACACTCATCAATATAACACTCGACACAGGAATGATCTTCAATATCCTGTGCATAGAACAGCTCTGTATGAAGGATCACCATGGTACATGGGTAGGACAATTTACAATAACCTCCCAAAACAAATTAAAACTGAAGAAAATATGTTATCCTTTAAAAGATAATTAAAATCTTATCTCATCCTTTTGTGTCCTTATTCCCTAGACGATTTTATAAAAACTTAGCTTTAGTTTTTATGTATTGATAAAAAAAACAAAGAAATTTAGCATAAAATGTATTATTAGTTAGTAAAGTAGTATTGACATGCCATATGTTTATATGTGAAAATCACAATCTTGTAATCTTTATATAACGAATAAACATTTCATTTTCATCTTTTCATTTTCTTACTCTCATGTCAATGAACACCGAATTGTCTGGAGAGCTCGCCTTCAAATCTGAAAGTCACTGGTTCTATATACAGTAGACTCCCTCTTATCCGGACTCCTTGGGACCAAGGCCAGTCCGGATAACGGGTTTTCCGGTTAAGCCGACATCCCCAAAAACTCTTTAAATGGACCGTTTAAATGCATACTGTATACAGTATTTGACTTAAATTTAGGAGAGCATTGTATTTAGTTAGACACAAGATCACTGGTCTCAAATTTTTCCCTCAAGAACAGTTGTTTCAGTTCTGCCCACTTCCTGTCGATCTAGTCCGGTTAAACCGATGTGCTGATAAAAATTGTCCGGTTAAAGAGATGTCATTTCTGCTGAGCAGTGTAGTCCTGTTAAAAGGTGTCCGGATAAGAAGGAGTCTACTGTATATATTATTATATATACATATATAATTTATGTATGAAGCAAGATCGTTACTGAACCTTGATGCCATTTGTCATTTATCTACGCCATTGGTAGTTTTTACATATTAATGGCTAGGTCTTTATACTATCTTATTGGTGCTATATAACAAAAAGCTGATGTTAGATATTTTTAAGAAGATAGTATCAAGCAGGATGTGGAATGTTCCCTTTCAAAGAGTAAAAAAATCCAACGACCGTAGATAGAACAATAATAGTAGGGTTTGGAATTTTCGTTGCCACTTGTATATTTTTACACTTCCTACATTATGTTGTAGGTGTCTGGGGAGTATGCCATGCTGTACCACGCTGCAAAAGCTGGAGCCTTTAGCCTCTTGGATGGAGTGAGGGAATCTCTCACCAGTTTCAGAAGAGCTGGTAAATATCAAATGTTTATAGTCCTTTGTCTATGTAGCTAACCAACCCATACATGTAAGTATTGATACTGACAGCTCCCTCCACAGCGTAAGAGATTCACTGCAACCTACAAGGTCTATTGTACCCCACGTCTTGCCTCCAAAGTGAGTCGGTGGCTCAGTCGATAACGTCACGGACTTCGGTCATTTATGTTTTAAACATTAACACTCTTTAACACTTAACTCTAAGTAGTATACTCATAAATTAATTGTGTAAAAATATTAATTCTCATGAGGTATCATTGACTCTAGAAACTATTGTACATCCTTTGACGATACCACTTAGAAGGTTCAAAGGATTAAGTTTTCATATTCTGTGCTGAATGTCATACCTTGTTGCAAATAGCGGTTACAGTCATACACTGTCCATATAACAATACAGTACTTTTTAATATTGATACTGATTGATTTCAATTTGTAACGATTGAATTATTTTTGTTTCAGGAGCTGATTGTATAATTACCTACTTCGCACCAAACATTCTGGACTGGTTGGCAGAAGGAAAGCTTTAGCCCTCTTTGCTGAAGTTCTTTAAAAAATGTTTAGTAGTCTGCTTTGTAGTGCTTTGCTGTATTTTTCCATTACCAATAACCGTACAAAAACACTTTTGTAAACTAAATTATTTGTTTTTTTAAGCTCTTTAAAAAGGTCCAGAGAGAAATTGCGAAACTTTGAGTTTTGGGGGTCAAAATTTGAAAAACCAAATTTTACCCCATAAAACCCGGTTCCCATGGTCCGATCATGCTGGTTCGCGAACTCATTCAAGTTTATCCCGCCTTACTTCAGGCGTTTATTCTATTCTATCCTAACCTAACCTTACCTTTAAACCAAATTTCATCAAAATCGGAAAAAAATTACTCAAGTTATCGCGTTTATGGGAAAATCACCATTAAAATCTAAATTTTAAAAATACAGTACGGTACTACACTACTACTATGTATTTATATTTGATGATATTTGTATTGTCATTTGGCAAACCCCTTAAAATATGGTTTTAAGGGCTCTAGTTCTAAATTAGTTTTGAAGAAAACTTAAAATACCCCACACAGTTATTTTGTAAAGCTAATTGCTATTTATTTTATTTTAAATATTGTACAATTATATAAATAAAAAAAAGGTTTAGGAAATGAAGGAGCAATAAAAAATTACATCCATGGTTTTATGGTGTGATATTTTAATTCTTTCTTCCGGACTTTCTCTTAGGTTCCTTTTCACTTTTCTTTGATTTCTTTTCTTTTTTTAACTCTTCCTTTGCCTTTTTAGACTTACTTTTCTTTATCATTTCATAGCCTATAGTTCTATGAAAAGGTTGATAGTTGTCCAGGCCTTTTTGTGTTAAGACATAACTTCTTACTTTTACTAAAAGTGAAATGATTATAGTGATCTGTGGAAAAGAAAATAGTTTACATTTCAATTTTAAGGAGATAATGCTAGAATACCTATTAACAGTAAGTTATATAAAAAATGATTAAGATTTTGTGTTTTAATTCTTCTTTGTGGCAGATAATTTTACAGTTTGATTTAAAATCTTTTTACAGAACAATTTTATATAATTTTCAAAAACTAAATAATACTAGCAGCCAGCGTGATTTCAAAATCCGTGATATATTTGAACGGTATTACAATTTTCTACTGCAATCTTATCAAAACACAAAATCGAATGCAAGTAATTTTCTTCTTTACATATCATACAAATAACATTTATAGCTATTTACCTTACAAGTGTAGTAAGAGAGTTTTTTCATCACGCAGGTGAATGTTGTGTAACTCGCTTCCGCTCGTTGTATAATTTACCTAAGTGATGTAAACACGCTCTTGCGTAACGCACAATATTTTACCTGACCCGACAATATACAGGAGGTTACAAACAATATTTTTCATTATCCATTTCACTCATCTTCTAACAGTAACGTTCATTTACTAACAAAAGCTAGGTTAGGAAAATTCTTCAAAACATAACAATAAAATTCAAGCACACAGCTGATTTCTAGCGTTGAACCGTTGACTGTGAATTCACAGTCAACGGTTGAACGTTGTTGGCTCCATAGAGGTATATATTTTTTAAGTTAAGCACTCAATGTTATTTAAACGGGTTTCATTACCTCACCGAGTGAGTTTTTTTCAACTTTACATCACTCGAGAAGTAAAGAAGTTTACATCACGCTTGGGATAGGGAAGTTTACACGCTACGCAAGAGCGTGTTTACATCACTTAGGTGAATTATGCAACGAGCGGCTGCGTGATGTAAAAACGCTCTTACTACACTTGTAATATAAATAGCTATTACGTATTCACTAAAATATCACCAACTGTAACAAATAACCCCATTTTCATATGGATGTAAACAAAATTGTATGTGGCCATCTGTTTTGATGTAAACAAGTGTAAACTTGAAAAAGTTCAGATGATTGACAACATTATTCAGCAAAACTCTGAAATTTTAAAAACCTATAGGACCAAGGGCTTTCACGGGATATCATCCAAAACTGCAAAAGGCACATTTAGAGGATGAGAGCTTTAAATTAATACCCAATATGCCTTAAAAATAAATATTTAGGGGTCGATTTGCTGAATACTAAAATCCAACAAATTCTTCTAATAGATTTTAAATATTTTTGTACAGAGATAACATGATGTAATATGTAAATCAATTTGGGGAAATAAATGATATTTTGAAAGAAATGTAATCCGAAAGCCATGAGTTGTAAAACAAAGTGATACACAGCTAAACTGGCATACTTTTAGTTTTATATCTAAAGTCAATGTTTTTTGTCAATGGTCTTGGCTAATGGATCAGCTCGTCCTAAACCTCAGAAGGAATCTCACTCCATCTACAATTATATTTTGCTTTAATATACGTTACCTAGGTGGCACGCGGTTTGCAAGCTGACAATCATTGAAATATAATATTTTAAAGTTAGGTAATAATTTTAATGCAATATGTTGTGTAAGTGATTCATTATTTATTAACAGAATATACGGTTGATGCAGTAATAATGATTCTGTCAGATTGCACTTACCAGTAATAAATTAACTCGCATGATACAAAACTGATGAGATCAACAATTAAGTAATGACAACACACGACTGTGAGACATGGTGTGGAGACAATATACACTTCATCACTATCATAAAATCAGATTCAATTGCAATTGTTATATCATAACTGTTTGTTAAGCAACAGCCACTTTTAACTAGGGCTCAATGACCTCATTTATCAGCCGGTTAGTAAACTTTTATTCAGTCCAAACAACAGTTTTGTTTTAAAAACTGGTGACAGGGTATCTGATATTCTATGTGGTGTCAAAAACTTCATATTTTGCCTCCTGAATGTGTTTATGTTTATAGCAAAGTAAAATGTCCAACTGATCCTAAAACTGTATATTTTGGGGTTAAGGATGACTTAATAATAGAACTTCAAGATTGGTCTTTATATTTAGAGTACAATTAATTAATACATCATTATGACACCAAAGAGGAAATAAATAGACAGAAATGTTTGTCTAAGAAATAAATATTTTATTACATACACAATATATTACATTAGACACAATATCGCCAGCGTGGACAACTAAACATGGCAAAGACAATCTAATTACAATTAATTTACACAGCTACATGTTGAGATTAGAAAAGAAAGACTTCATTGCAAGTTGCAAAACATCCTCGATAATATTGCTCTTGTCATGAGGCTGGTTATAAACAATAAAAACGATATCAGTCATAATGTGAAATCAACGGAATGCTTACATATTTAGTTATGTAAACTAACACCTTGCAAAATCATCAACTATTCCATTCACCACACTACACAGAGAGACCATAAAGTGCAATAAGTTGAAAGTAACAAAACAAGTTCTTTAGTGCAAAAAAAATTAATTCACTATTTTAATCCAAACGAATGAATAATGATTTATGTTACTCCTTTGTGTAAACGGTGTAAAAGACTGATGATTTGGAAGTGCCAATTTGGAGTAATTATGACTTGCTCTTGGTGAGAGCCAGCCCTAGAGCTACCAGTCCTCCCATGGCTACCACAGCTGTCCCGGCCAGTGCCATGCCGATCAAGCCCTCTGCAACAACACATATAAACAAGTGTCAGTCTTTACAAATGACATACTCACCAATATCAGTTAAAAATTATTGTTCAAAGGACCATAAGTAAAAATGTTCATGACTAGTGGTGTGCAAGTGGTTTTTGTGCTGAACCGAGCCTAAAACTCAAGTGATTGAGCACAAAGTCAGGAAAACGAGCCTCATCATCTTTTAAATTTTATTGTGACCTCACAATGTCTACAGGAATTGCAAGATTTGAAAATTCATGATTTTATCAAATGACCATGATGTCTCTGCGATCCCGGAAGATGTTGAACTATTATGCCGTTATCAAGGGAAACATATTTCATGTTTACGTGATCAATGGAGAAGATCATGATGGTTTAGCGCACAAATCCCATGTTTCATGGTCCTTAAACACATTGGGTGCGACATCATCACCAATGGAGGGAGAGGGGCGTGTCTAAGCATGCCATACTTGGGGGGAGCGAGCTGGTCAAATGGTTAGAGTGTGGGACTTCGGTCCAAGAGGTCCCAGGTTCAAATCCCACCAAATCACCAATGGATTTTATCTAAGTGATAATGCCCCTAGGTCTAGCCTAAAGTATTGTGAAAAACAATCCTGGGCTCGTGCCTAGCGTCCTAGGACAAAAAAAGCATGCCATACTGGCTCATCACCGGGGATGGGCTGAGCAATGCTAACTTCCATCGGTTAGTTTGGTCGAGCCACTAACGTTAGAAGGATGGGGTTTGCTCACGTTTTGTAGTTATGTTTGCCTTACTTTGTGGTTTTGCATATTTTTTTGTTGTATTTGGGTATTTCACCCTGTATTTGGAAATAACAAGTGCCTGTTATCAACTTTAGTAAGTGCTGCTATCACTGCTGTTGATTTATTCTAGAACTCAATCACAATGAATGGAACACAGTACATGCTATACAGTGGCTCTCATCCGTGCAGCGCATTGGCTATCCAAATATACCAAATATATATTTAAACTATTCACTGTATTGCCAAACCTGTTTGGTTTATGATTCAACCGATTGACGACGGCATTTTTTAAATTTCTATAATTGTTTTATGTTATGTCCTTTCATGTCTTTCATCAAAGCCTATATTTATTTAAACACAATATGCCCATTTTAAACCAAAATAAAAGCAAAAAAAAGAAAAAAATCTGTGTCTTCCTCTTCTACGCCAATGTCAAAAGAAGCAAAACATGTTTTGTGTGTAACGCTTCTAAAAATCCCTTATGCAATCAACTTCCACAAAAGCCAAACACCGTTTAATTAAGGTGGGCTTAAATTAGGAAATTTTCACTGCAGTTAAGCATTAGCAAGCTCAATATGAATAGCTCATGTATGGGATTTGAACATGTGCATGTAGTCAGTGCAGCACCTTAGCCAACTGAGCTGCAATGCCACTGTTGGCCGAAAAGGTTGATTGCCAGTGTAAGCACACAAGGACACTAACGCTTGTAGGTTTGATTTGACGTAATACTTAAGGGACAGTGGGTTAGCTGTACAAATATCTCACAGTGAAATGCTACACTGGTAAGTTGTTGGAATGGGTTACATTATATCTATATATATATTATATATATTTCATAGTATGGATTATTATTATTTGATGAAAAGACTATCATTATATGGGGTAGTAATGTGTTTAAACAATCAGGTAAGCAATACCATTTTTCAGGAAAGAAAAATGAAAGAAATAACTGCCGACCAGATCAGGAAATACGCTTTCTTTGTGTGGTTCACAATAGTAACCTTTTCTGCCCAAAGTGTGAAAAATTAGGCAATTTTATCGCTGCAATAAGGAAATCTACACAAGCATTTGTTTAATGATTTGTCAGTATGTCAAAAATACTTTAATGTACTTCCACACAAATATTTTGAAATTTCTAAAATCATTTTCATGTTATTCTATTTTTTATTTTATAGTAGTGACTGTGAAACTAATAGTGACTAAGGCCTAATGCAATTAATACAATTTTAAGTTCCATCTACACTATCAGGAATTTTCAAAACATACTTTACTAAGATGAAGGAATAATAAAAATAAATTAATATTAGGCCTAATGTATATATTTCAAAACCTATATGACAGGCTACCAAGTATACTAGATGACTTGATAACACCAATGATTTCTGATTTATAAGTTATAATTACAGATAAAGCCTAATTTACAACGCATTGAAGATATCATGTTGACTCATTATAGATAAATAATTCAACAACAAACCTTTTTCCATCCTTTTCTTGATGATAGTTTCGAGGTTTTGAACTTGTGCATTGCCAGGCTCCAAATTGAGGAACATTCTAACGTAATTCAGTGCCTTTGAATATTCCTAGAAGTACAAGAAAAGGGGGTTTTAATTTCCATCAAAATAACAAACATTAAAAAAAAAGTTAAACTTATACAGACAGCCTACAACCAGTATTATTTTTCTCTTATACAGGCAAGATCTAGCCTAATCCAGTCAATGAGAAACAAATCAATCACCAAAGTCGAACAATAACAACCCCATCGCAGTCCAGGCAAGAAGCTAACAAAATTTTAGCTGATTCAAACATTTTTGATCAAAACAAGTTTAATAGTAGAATAATTTTACATTTCGGTTCATGCTTAGTCAAGCCTTAAAAACATTGGCTCAATGAGTATGGTATAATTAGGGCATACAGAAAACTGTGGTATAATTAGGGCATACAGAAAACTGGTGTACCCCTACTGGTGTACCAAATACTCATAAACTGCAACCTATGCACCTGCTATGGTGCTGCCTGGTGTGTCATGAATTATACTCTAAGTGCCTACAGTAAAATATACTTTTGAATTTTATAATATATATACATATAAAGAAGCAATAAATTTATTCTTCAAAAGAACAAGGGGTCAATGTTTAATACTTTTATTAGAGGCTATTTTGGTTACCAATTAAGTTCAGTGATACTTAGGTATGATAATCATTGCTCGGTTAAAAAACAAGAAACAAGAATTACGTTGATATGTATGTTTCTGTTTGTGAAAATAAAAAAAAAATTGTGAAAAATGTAAGTGAAAATAGCAAGTTATTTGTGATTTGGCAATCAAATAATCATTAGCCTATGTCTTATTTCAATGTGGAGGAGGTCCACAACTTAGAAAATTAAAACCACACAGTACTAGGTTGGCCGCCAATCGTTGGCAAGCTGGATGAGCCGTCTGCAGCACATAAATAGCTGTGGCATTTCTGCTTGGGCATTCCCGGTTTGCCCCGGTCCTTTCGTGCAGTCCTAGACATGTAAGATAATGATGTTTTCATGTTGTCATGATGGTATCATGTTCAAAATGTTATAGCTCAGGTCACACTCAAACAAAAAGTAATTTTAATATTAATGCTTTTTAGAAGACTAAAATCATCCACCTAATTGTGTGTTGGTAAATAGCATAATTTTTATGATACTGTGTTCAAGGTTTTTCAAGACGATTGAAAAAGTTTTGCACATGTTTATGTTATTCTTTCCTTTAAAAATTACTTTACCCTAACTATTAAAAAAAAAATACTCTATTTTATAAACCCTTACCGTACTTAGGCTAATTGAAAGTGTAGGCCTACTATAATGAAAATGTTAAAAATGTTAGATCTCATAAAAAAATGTAAAATCATATTAAAAGATAATGAAGACTCTCGTTAAAAGAATATAATATAACAATATAACACCGCTAATGAATTGTGACATAGCGCACAGCAGACAGAAGTGCAAAACGGAGCAGACGATTATCAGCGGTAATGTTGATGTCATTTTGCCATTTATTTTCACCAAAGGAAATGTGATGTTTCAAAAACAATAATGTCGTATGTAGAGGTTGCTCTCTACTTAGCAAATTCAAATTGTCAGCGTCTACACCTGCTATATAAATTCCATACGCTATAGAAGTTCTGTCAGTGATATATTCATTTAGTGATATATATTAATTATTAATTTAGATTAGATATATTGAGGTGACTTATAGGCCTATTAGGGATTGTCAACAATTCTTCATTTCAAGCTTGTAGATTTTAAGGTTTGATTGTTATGTAGAGGTGAAATATACACAGTGTCTTTTGGAGAGTTCTACGGAATTAAAAAAAAATTGTTGCGTCAAGGAATTCCTTACATTGGAGTTCGTTATGTCGAGGATGGACTGTACATCTAAACAAATATCTTTGGCAATTTAAAAGTCTAATTTCTAAAATAAATACTATGGCCTACCTTGATTCTTGCATTTCCAATAGCTAAATAGTAGAGATAATCTCTTTTTGCATCACCAGCCTGAGCATCCTTAGAAAGATCTTCTAAAAGTAGAATCCCTTTTCTAACATCTGCAGGGTATTTGCTTCGGACCAAACACCAGGCATAGTTGAACTGTGCTTCCGTAGTCACTTTTCCTTTGTAAAGCTGTTCATGGTATTCCCGTTCAAACTTCTATGAACAAAGAAATATATTGGTTACGGTAGTTAGACCATACGAATGTGAAGGACTAAACAATTCTTTATTTGGTTTCTAACTAGAACTAACAAGGGAAACATGTAATGCAATCTGGACCAAACAGGACAAAACAAATAGGTTGTATATTGTTTTGCATTAGTGAGTCAATTGCAGTTAACTTAGCTGGCTGAACCCTCCAAAGTTGGAACTAAACATATTAGAATAAAAGTGAGTTTAATGTGGGCCAGCTTATAGAGGTACACATCCGAGATGTGCCAAACCTAAATAATAAAATCACATAAAAAAATAAAATAGCCTATCCCACTAAGCAAAAGCATTATTAAAAAAACCTGTTAGGCCAGGGACACACCTGCCAACTAAATCGCTGGAAGCGGGTTCCGGTTGAACCGCTGGAGGTTGAATGTCAAAACAAACTGTCCCGGCAAAACTATTTTGCCGGAGCCGGTAACAATAAATATAGTGCAATGAACTCTCAATCAGTCGTGTCTTTGAAATGGTGCTGTCAATTGGCCGTGCTGTGTTTGCTCCACCATAGAAGAAAGAGGAAACACCGCCGGAGTATTTGGGTTCATCCCATTCTAGAGCAAAGGTGCAGCTTCATGGAGCATTTTATAGTCTATATCTACATCTCAGGAATGACAAAAATAAGTTTGGTTTTTCGTGAACTAAACTTATTAGCCTAATAAATCCATATCTACATCAACACTCATGATGGAATAGAAAACTAAATTGACTTATACGGCGGTTTCGCTGGAGCATTTTCCCGCCGTACCGGCTGTTTAGACCGGATCGGAGCAGTGTGTCATTCCCCATGCCTTCCTGTGTATCTCAACTTTTGCCGGCTTCGCCGGTTCCGGCGTTCGGAGATTTCGCCGGTAAGTGTGTCCCTGGCCTTAGATTTCCATCAGCTCTATAGGTTTTCAAGTCTGTAGCCTAGAGGTACTGTCCGTGAGAGTTAAGAAGTCCTCTGAGTCCTGGCCTATTCTAAAAATGCAGGCGCTTGCTACTTGAGATCTAGGCGGGTCGAGCGGGTTAACTCATGTTCCACGCGGCAGTCAGGGCTCACATCCACTGCGTTAAAACCAAAAGAACACCTGCAAATACCGCGCGGCAACATACAAACATTGCTGCGTTCGCTTTGGCTCAGAGGACTTCTTAACTCTCGCCTACAGTAGGCCTAACACAATTTTGCATCTAGGCTAAAAAACATGTGTTGAAAAATACACAATAAATTAAGTTAACAAACAGGGTCATTCTCAAATTCAAAGCAAATATAGTGTCTCAATAAAAAAAACAAGAATTTATAAATAAAATTTTTGCAAAAAAAATTTATAATAATGCCAGTTATTATAATTAACATGGTAAGTGGTACAAAACAATTATAAAATGAAAATAAATATGTTAAAAAAAATCATGTGTGCCTTATTTTTCCCTTCGCTCACTGTCTCCTGTCTCAGGGCTCTACGTTCAAAGTTAAAAATTTCCATGAAAATGGTGTCAAAAAATAATAAAGGAACATTCAATATATTGATGAAAGAATGCCATTTGTTTATCAATTGAAGAGGAAAGCTCAATATCATCACGTTTTAAAATATTTTTGAAGTTTTAACTGTCTTCAAGTTCACTACAAATTTACCACGATGTTTTGAATTTGCCGCTAAATCGCCCGCCAATCAATGTATCCCAGCATGCACCGGCACTGTGTGAGAGTGGAGTGTATTGTACAGAACGCCGGCCGAAACTTGATGATAAATTATATATTTCCCGAGTTAAAACGGAAATTCAGGTAAGAATTAGTGCGTACCTTTATTGCTGTTCCCTTCACTCACGTATCATAACTCAATAAATTTACAAATAACAATAATTAGGCCTACAATGGTATTGTTTGAAAGTACCGAGCAGCCAGTATAACCTCACTTTCAGGCCAGCTGAAGCTGCAGTTACAGTCGCGTCAAAAGTAATAGACCTTCTAATTTTCTCTCCGCTCACGTTCTCTCCGCTCACGTTCTCTCCGCTCACGTTCTCTCCGCTCACGTTCTCTCCGCTCACGTTCTCTCCGCTCACGTTCTCTCCGCTCACGTTCTCTCCACTCACGTGATCGGAGAGAAAAACGTGAGCGAAGAGAATGTTTCGTGACCAAATACCTTCTTTAGAGAGATTTGTTGTAATTTGATTACTTTCCAAAATCAAAAGTTACTCTGTAACAATTTAACCTCTGGGTTTTTTGATAAATAGGCTACTAGGTTTAAAATACTCACTCACGTGATCGGAGAGAAAAACGTGAGCGAAGAGAATGTTTCGTGACCAAATAACTTATTTAGAGAGATTTGTTGTCATGATTACTTTCCAAAATCAAAAGATAATTTATTTTCGTTTTATAAAATTTACTACCCTAAGTAACAATTTAACCTCTGGGTTAAAGTCACCTTGTAGTTCCCCTCTCTCACTCTGTAGTTCCCCTCGCTCACACCCAGTAAAAGCTCTGTTGATCAAAAAATATTTTTTTTTTAAACCTGTTTTCAATTTCAACGCAAGAACCAATGAGCATTACACAGGTTTATTAGTCTTTTTTTAATGAATTAAATAAAAATGTAACTTTTATTCTAAAATTTAACTTCTGTTTTGGTCTATAATTGGTAAAAAATTGAGTTTTTTTTTGGATCAGCAACTATTACTTTTAATTAAATAACGTTTTTAAAATTTTTAATTGTTAGCTACAGTTACAAACTTATACTTAAAACTATAAATTTTACTATTTTTCTTTATTTTTAAGGGGGGGGGGAACAAGAGCGAGAGGAAGAAATGTATGACATCCTGAAAGAAAATTGTATAATCTTAACAAAAAATGTTAGAATTAAGCTCAGCCATCTTTGTTTTCTTATTAAGGGATATATTTCTTTTAATTTAATAAATAAATTATTGTAAAAAAAAATAATTTTTTGTTTTGTTTTCCGATCCCCAAATTTGCCTTGAATTCGAGAACGACCCAACAACATATTGCATCTTATTGCACAAGTAACAAGGCTTTCCTCGTTTTGTTATGAATCGAACGATACCAGATAAGTCATACAAACATTAAGAGATAACCCAACCTAACACAACCTCCGCATTGCGCTGTCTAAGAGTGGCTTCCGTATAATACGAAAGTAAACTACTGGTTCTTTTCATCTAAGTTAGGTTTAAAAATCAAACCTAGGACTATCGTAACATACTTTTTAGCCTGAGCCATAAGTTAACACATGTACATAGCCTACTAGGGCCTACGACTTCCTTGACATTTTGCATAACATCTGGGATGCCATCACAGGTTCCAAACCAAAGAGACTGTTTCTCTCTGCAGCAGAATTACTTATGAATGGCTTCAGTGATAAATGTTAGGTCTAGCTAACTTTTTAATAATTAACATAGGCTAGGAACTTTCCAACAGTGTGCATAAAAATGTATGCTGCTTGGCAAAGGTGTTACGCTCAACTTACTTAAATAAGTCAAACAAAAACAAATTAGGCTATAATTTTCATTAGAGTCTAGGCCTATGACAGGAAGGCCTAAGTTTAGGCCATCTAACTTATAAGTTAAGTGTGTTAGCCAAGGAGCGATATCTGAACATAAAAACAGTAAATTGACCTAGTTATTAACACACAATGATTATGGACTCTAGTATCCAAGTCCGATTGACAACAGCATCAATATTAATTACCAGCAATAATGTATTGGTATGTCTATGGTAATGAGTCATAGACCTAAATAAATCTTGCACAACAATGTATAGGCCTAGGTTAACTGGTGGCAAAATAAAGTTTGGGAATGTAGATTAGTTACAACAATAATGATTGATTCTGAAAGTAATGAACTAAACTGTGCAAGCTGGTAAATATGCCAAGAGTTGAACAATTAATTGGAGACTTCTTCAAGCCTTGTTATGACATTTTGCTGAGTTATCCTCGTAGCTGGAAACCTTAGTAGTAATTACCTTTTGTTACTAACGAACATATTTACCTTTAAGTCTTCATTTGATACGACTTCATCAAGAACTTCTTCCATTATAAGAAAACTTAAAAACAAGGGCAAGGGATATACTCCATAAAATCTAAAACCTTTAATTTACTTCTGCTTTGCTTTAGCAGACTCTTTTGTTATGTTATGAGTTTGTGATTGTGATTGTGTTGTGGTGAGTCAGTTGTGAGTGAAGAGTGGAGTGGGATTGGGGATTGGGATTGAATAGTGATAGGGGGGGTCTGACTTAGGGGAGGTACGAAAGAGGCATTTAGTTCAAAATTCCTCCGTGAACAGCGCTGTAGTAGAGAGCACTTTGGCAATGAAGGTTTACTAATCGCAAAAATAGTTCTGTTCATAAAATAAAATTATAAATGTCTCAAATTCAATATTATAATTTTTTAATTATAAAATTAAACTATCATAACCTAACCGAACTAACCAAACTTCCTGATAAAGAAATAATATAACAAAAGTTTTGTAATCGGAAAAATAATTCTGTTTATTAAATAAAACTAGAATTTGCTCAATTAAAATTTTATGATGACTTAATAATAAAATTAATCTGTAATAACCGAACCAAACCAACCAAACTTGCTGATAATAAAAAAATCTTGGACAAAAAGTTAATGCTACCAGCAGGATTCGAACCCGGGACCTACAATATATCAGCCCGGTACGCTAACCATTAGACCACCGAGGCCGGTGGCTACCGAACCGACCGTTTTGTTAGGTTAATGGCGTTCCCTCAGCTAATAAGAAGCCCACAGCTGTCATCGTAGCCTCTTCTATACCTCCCCTGAGTAAATACTATAGTAGTGGGTCGAACTTCTTCTAAGCATAGAGTAAAACGATTTATTAAAGTGACGAGGAAGCTATTTCATAGAGTTTTTCCCCCTTGCCGAAAAGGCGGGGTTTTTTTTACCCATGAGACCTCAATATTCTCTGCGGTTGTCAATTAGTAAACACAATCTTATTTTCCAGATAATTCAATGGTGAATAGATTTTTGTTAGTAAGAAACATAGATGTGGTATAACGTGGTGTATGTTGATTTTGTTAATTAAAAGTAGGATTCGGGATTCTAAAGATTTGACGGATTTCATGATATTTCATAGAGTAGATCACGAGTAGACGAATCCATATTAAAGTTGGGTTAGTCCCATTAAGTCGATTTGCCATTAAGTCGACAAGTCTATTTCATTCCACAGCACCTAAAATGACATTCTCTCATAGTGTATCTTAGGACAACATATAGTTTCTACATGTTCCTACTATGGATTGGAAACATTTCCTAATATATATATCCTGTTTCTATACATAATTTAGCTCAGTTAAGATCAATCGATTACGCAGTGTTTCGCGGTAAGTCAGGCAGCATGTTTATTTATGGCTATATTAACGCTTCCATTACGGCCATGGGGCCGCCTAGAACGTGCTAAGGGGCCATCCACATATTACAAAACGCTCACGTAGGGTTGGGAAGGGGTTTATTTGATTTTATTTTGCTTCCAACGGTCCAAAAACCAATTTAAATTATTTTTACAATGTAAATTCAATGTTACTATATTTAAGGGTCAAGCCAAACATGCAATGGGACCTATGATAACTACTTTAATAGAAATATCTTGACAACAAGAACATATATTTTTTATGTGGTGGTTCTGTTGGGGTTGAAATACACCACTCTGTCTTGACAACATTTTCATGCAACTTCTAGGTAAATTAGTAAAATATTTTTATAAATAGATAACTTAAATTTTATTGACTTAAAACATAATTAAGTAACATAAACTGTAGGCCTTATACACCTATTCATCTTTGTCATCCTCATTATCTTCTGAGCCTGATACGTCGCTCCTCTGTTGCAGATGGCGTATCAACAATGTTGTAGAACTCATGTTTGACGGGGGTATGTAGGGTAGCAAATCCAACATATCTTGTTTTTTTTTGCTCTGTACTGCCAGAAGACTAGCATACAAAGGCTGAAGTGAAATGGTAACATTTACTGTAGGCCCTATTTCACGTTTTCTTTTTACACTGATGTCGATTACAAAAAATTTCCATTTCTTAATTTAGCCATTCTTTGTATAGAATTTATAAGGGGGTCTCTGTCACATCCCGCAGCCACTGAATCTTTAAATCGTTATCTTAAAATGTCAGAAAAACACAACCTCAACTTTCTTCATCTAAGGGAGTATGTTTTATCTATGTCTATACTTTGTGTCGCAGTCTATGAAGTGGCAGAGTGGTTCAAGTCACTGAGTCTGACTTGAACCACTATGGTTGCCAAGGATACCAGCTGATTGTTTGTGAGCAAAATAAAAATTACTTGTGATACTCCTGGTGATTGCAATTAACTTATACCACTTTGATCACAAATAGAACAAGAAAAGTGTTATCCATTGGTACAAAATACTTGACTTAAAAAATGACTTATACCACTATGGATCTCAAGGGCCCATATGTTCTTGCCAATTCGGGTGGTTGTCTAAAATGATTCCAAGAAATGTTGTGGAATTAGCTGGTACTTCCAGATCTTATCATCTATTGTTGTCTTCTTAGAGAAATTGAAGTTTATGTGTGTTGTTTTATTTTTGTTAATCTTGAGGTCTATTGATTGACAGATTGATATTGCGTTTCCCATAGGGTTGAATGTATACTATGTTGTTCTTTTTGAGAGGATTTATGAGGGGGATTAAAATTGTTGTGTCATTTACGAATTGTACGCATTTTTGTTTATTTTGAAGTTGTTCTGGCAAAATATTGATAGAAAGAGGAGGGCCCCCAGTATCGAGCCCTGGGGAACTCCTTTCGTGGACTGTTTATGAAGAAATGGTCTTTAGTATTGTATTTTTGTTAATTTGTTCAACTACAACAAATTGAAGTCTGTCAGTTAGATAGTGTTTCATCCAGTCTAATGCTTTGTCCTTTATATTAAAGTAAGTCATTTTTAAAATTAATATTTTCCAATTGATAGTGTCGCAATCCTTTTGCATATCAAGAAATAGCCCAGAGGCAGATTTTTATCTTCCAATATTTTTGTAATTTCATGACAAAATTGACTAATAGTGGTGTTGGTGCACCTTCCTGAACCCGCGTGCTGTTGTTCTGCAATTAAGTTGTTGGTTTCGAGGTGGTGGAACAACTGATTGAAGACAATACGTTCTAGGAGTTTAGATATTGTAGGTAGGTTACTTATACCGCTACGAATTTACGCTGCAATGTTCGTCACTGACTAAAATTTGTATACCAACCAAAAAGTGAAATTATATGCCATATAAAGGTGTGCAGACCTTAGTTTACATGGTGTAACCTTTTAAAAAGTTAAAAGGGTATATCCTTACTTTTGTCTAGCCCAGTATATATAAAATAGTAGTTTAACTTCCCTGAATTCATTATGTCGAATAAATAAATATATCAATTAGCTTTCGACAGGCAATAATTCCCTTTGAATCTGCATACATAATAAATATACGATTAATTTTATTTTCGTACTGCCTAAGCTATAGTTTTGCTCTTAGCATAATTCTTTTATTAAATGCGTGTTTTTCCAGTTATTCATAAAATCTTGCTTGAAAACGTAGTTTTTTTGCCCAAAAATCCAAAATCTTTCGCGAATAAGTATGACAGTTGCAGATAAAAACTACGAAGACGTTGCTTAAAACTATAGCTTAGGCAGTACGAAAATAAAATTAATCGTATATTTATTATGTATGCAGATTCAAAGGGGATTATGTTGTTCATCCCCCAGAAGTGGGCCACCCCTACAGGGAAAAAAGCAACCCCTGACACAGGGTAGACTTTGAATAGAACCCAAATCCAAATTTTGACTAGTAGTACAGGTAAAATAGGGTTTTATAAACAACAAAATTTGTACATTCATGAAATTTCACCTGTGAGTTACCAATAATATTAGAAATGAAGATCCGATGAGTCCCCAAAATTTTGGGCGTCCTAAGGCCCTTATTGGGGCCCTTTTTGTTCCGAAGGGCCCTTGTTCCTGAATAATTTTGTTTTTACCTTTAAGGTCGAGTGAGGTGTGGTTTTCGATGGTTTTAGTTATTTTAAATCGATTGGGAGTAGTTTTAAGTGTATTAAACCACATCATACAGGGTGTTTCGAAATATTATTACTTTTTACGATATTTAAACATTTATTCATAAAGTAATAAAATTAGTTACCTCCATGCTCTATATAAAAGGGGGTTATTGAAAATAATTGTAATTCTTTACAACGTAAGGGGAAAGGATCACAAGGAGTAAGAGAAAATATTAAATACCCCCGTCATAGCAAACCTGCAGACCTACCGAATTACCGTTTTACTTACTTGATTTTCAATTAAATCTAAAAAAGCATTGCGTTCAACGATTACCTAGGTTTGCTGCTACAAGGAGGCTAATAAAGTGGGTTTATAGTAAAATTTTAATAGCCTAGTATAAAAAAAATAAATTTGACAAGTTTGATAAAAATATATCTTTTAACAAACAAACAAAATCATTTTACACTATTCTACATAAGATTAACATGGGAATTTTAAATTTACAATTTTAGTATTTATATTCATAACTAATAACCATACAAAAACACGTTAATATAATAAATTATTTGTTTGAAACTATTTAAAATGTTCTAGAGAAAAATTGGGAAACTTTGTGTTTTGAAGATAAAGTAAATAAGAAACCCCAATTTTTACCCCATAAACCTCGTTCCCATTGTTCAGGAAAAAATGCTTGTACCGACAATGCTGCTCTGATGTCTTAGTACTGTCCTGGTCGTCATAACCACGAAAGATAACCGTACTTGTATTGATTGAAAATAAGTTTGAGGAGCTTAAGATACAAGTTGCAAACGTCAGCAGGCTATGTATGAAAGGGGTTTTTGCACCACATTGTTCGTGCTTTAAGATTGGTGTTGTCTGTTCTGCAATATGCAAGGTTTTAGGTTTGTAAAGGGGAATCCTGCTTGAACACCAACTTGGACAAAAACAGTAAAGATGGACAAGTTGCTAAGAATAATATAATTGTTAATGAGTCGTCTGAGAATAATTATTGTGATGATGAAATTGTAAAGAGAGATACTACGGAAATTGTAGAAAAATAGCTTTAGTTAAAGTACTTCATTTTAATATGTAATGTAAGGTTTTATACTAATACAATTGTT